CGACCCATATTAGATCTAAGGGAGCTGAACTGTTATGTCACCTACCACCGCTTCCACATGGTGTCCTTACAGCAGATTATGTCACTTCTCCGGAAAAACGTCTGGATGGCCACCCTCAACCTCCAAGACGCGTACTTCCACCTCACCATCCACCCCTTCCACCACAAATACCTACGCTTCGCAATTGGTCAACAGCATTACCAATATGCAGCCCTACCGTTCAGCCTTTCAAGCGCCCCAAGAGTCTTCACAAAGACTATGATTGTGGTGGCGGCCTTCCTCCGTCTCAAGGGAATCTCCATCTACCTGTACATCGACGATTGGCTCTTGGTAGCATCCTCCAAGGACACTCTGGTCTCAAACATCAACGAGACAATGGTACTCTTGGAAAACCTGGGCCTGCAAGTCAATCTGTAAAAGTCTCAACTTCAACCGGTCTAGAAAATACAGTACATCGGTGCTCTACTGGATTACCTGCCACAAGACAGAGCGGCAGACACCATCCACCTAGCCACCGTCGTCCGTACCCAACCTTCAGTCACGGCCTTCCAGATACAGAGGCTACTCGGTCTTATGGCCACAACTACGTCGGTCCTGGTCTTCGCAAAACTAAAAATGCGTCACCTACAACTGAAGAATGCACATACCCCCTCCCAATATACGAGAGTCTTTACTTTGGTGGACTGTCCCTTCCAATCTTTTCCAGGGAGCACCCTTCCATCCTCAGTCACCCCAAATCACCCTAACAATGGATGCTTCCCTGACGGGCTGGGGTGCCCACACGATGGGCCTTTGTGTTGGAGGCAAATGGGATGCGCAGAAGAGGAAGTGGCACTGAAACTGCTGGTAATACCGTATGCTGTCACCAGCTTCCTACCTATGATCAAAGGGAAATGTGTCACGGTCCTCACGGCAACACTACTGCACTCAGTTATGTCAACAAGCAAGGGGGCACTGTCTCCCTATGCCTCTGCAACCTTTCCATCCAGTTGTGGAACCTTTGTATCACCAACAACGTTTTCCTCATAGCTACACACATCCCTGGACACATGAACGTGCAGGCAGACCATCTGAGTCGAGCAGGACTCAGCCTTCACGAGTGGGAGATGAAACCAACCTACCTCCTCCCACTCTTCTGCAGGTGGGGAGTTCTCCAAGTCGATGTTTTTGCCACCAGAGCCAACAAAAAATGTCCTTTGTTCTGCAGTCGAGGTGGAAGGGATCCACAATCTCTAGGAGACGGTCTCCTCTATCCATCATCCACAGGCCTTCTTTACCTGTTCCCTCCACTTCCCCTGCTTCTGAGAGTGGTTCGCAAAATCATCAGAGACGGAGCGGACTGCATCTTAATAACCCCATGGTGGCCGAGGCAACCATGGTTCTTGACCGTCCTCGAGTTGTCAGCAGGGGTCTACCATCAATTCCCTCTGGCACAGGACCTCCTCTTCCTGTCCGACTCTCCTCTCCTGTGCCATGACATGCCACGGATGAAGTTGACTGCCTGGAGAATACCGTCAACACCTTTTCCACCCACATAGCGAACATTTTATTAAACACAAGAAAGCCTACTACACGGAAGTCCTTCCATTACAAATGGCAAAGGTTCTGTTCCTCCTTGGGTGACGATGCCCCTCGAGCCACCTCCATGGGGCTCGAGAAAGTTTTCCAATTCCTCCTGTCCCTCGCTGACTCGGGACTCTCTCACTCCTCGTTAAGAGTTTATTTGGCCGCACTTTCGGCCTACCATGTTCAAGTTGACGGGTGCACACTGTTTTCACATCCGCTTTCAAAACGTTTTTAAAAAAGTTTATTGCATCTCTACCCTCCTGTAGAAACTCCTGTCGTTCCCTGGGACCTTCCTCTAGTTCTTCGTCAGCTCACGAGGAAAACCTTTGAGCCACTCGCAACTTGTGACATGAAATTCCTGTCATGGAAGACGGCCTTTCTGTGAGGCGAGTTGGAGAAATACTGGCTTTCAGACATGACACGCCTTACTTGTCCTTTTTGCCAGACGGTGTCCGCCTCGTCCCTGACATCTCATTCCTGCCAAAGGTAGTGTCAGAATTCCACCTACAGGCAGAGGTCTTCCTCCCGGATTTCTTTCTGGCTCTGACATCCTCAGAGGACAGACTGTTACACACTTTGGATGTGAAGCGTGTGCTCCTGTTCTACCTGAACAGAACCCGCCCAGCGAGACGTGACTCCCAACTGTTCATCTTGTACGCACCAGCAAGGCTGGGGACTCGCATCACGGCTCTGCACCTCTCAAAGTGGATTGCGGGGCTCATCCACCTCTGCTATTTGATCGCCAAACAGCCATTGCCTGGCCCATTCAACCCAAGCTGTTGCAGCCTCCACTGCCTTCCTCCAGTTAATGGACATTTGCAAAGGCGCTACGTGGGCCATGCCTAACACCTTCATAAGGCATTACGCCCTAGACGTCCGGAAGAACTCTAATACCAACATGGGACGTCACATTCTATCTTCGGCTACACAGTAAGGACCTGCCAGCACCCTCCTCCAGGTAGGCCACTGCTCGCTAATCTCCTATGGGTGTGAAGCACAGAGACCACGTTGAAGATAAACAGGTTGCTTACCTGTAACTGGTGATCTTCGAGTGGTCATCTGTGCATTCACACCACCCGCCCTCCTTCCCCGCTGCTGTCAGCTTCTACATTTTCAATAGGGGTTGATTCGCGGCGGTTCGAAGGAACTGGCGGGATGTCCACGCCCACCCCTCTGGGCATGCGCGGTGGGGTTCCTGTGCATGCCCAAGGTCTGGGCATGAAAATCCGTTAAAGAGCTTGCTACAATGCCGATCGATCCAGCGCGTGCGCACTGAATCCCATGGGTGTGAATGCACAGATGACCACTCGAAGATCACCAGTTACAAGTAAGCAACCTGTTTTTTCTGCGAGCATCCCTGTCGAACACTCAGAATGTTTGACAAATGTCTAATTAGATTAAAACGCTAACCATCTTGCCTTCCGTTTTCCTTATCCAAACCAGACACAGATGAGTGCTCCATCGGGAACCCGTGCGGAAATGGAACGTGCACCAACGTGGTGGGGGGCTTCGAGTGTGTATGCGATGAGGGATTTGAGCCGGGGCCCATGATGACATGTGAAGGTAAGGGGGTTAAGTGTTGCCTGTGGACCTGCTGTCATTTGGGTCTGGGGAGAAGGTAGGGTTTTTTGTCCGTTCACTGCTCCTTTCTTGTCCGTTCAGTGCTCCTTTCCGACATAGATCATATATGAGCCTGCAGTGCGATGTGGCTGTGAAGAAAGCTAATGCAATCTTAGGGTGCATTAACAGAAGCACTGTGTCCAGATCACGGGAGGTGGTAGTTCCGCTCTATTCTGCTGTGGTCAGGCCTTACCTGGAGTCCTGTGTCCAGTTTTGGGCACCACATTTTAGGAAGGACATTGACAAGCTTGAGCATGTCCAGAAGAGGGCAACCTGGATGGTGAGAGGGTTGGAATCCAAGTCTTATGAGGAAAGGCTGAAAGAGTTGGGTATGTTTAGCCTGGGAAAGAGAAGGCTTAGAGGGGACATGATTGCAGTCTTCAAGTATCTGAAGGGCTGTCATGTAGAAGATGGAGCGGATCTATTTCTTGCTCCGGATTGCAAGACTAGATCTAATGGGTGGGAATTACAAGGGAGTTGTTACCGGCTAAATATCAGGAGAAACTTCCTAACTGTAAGAGTGGTTGAGCCTCGGGAGAACAGTCTGCCTCGGGAGGTGATGGATGCTCCTTCGCTGGACGTTTTCAAGCGGAGGCTGGACGACCATCTTTCGGGTAGGGCTATCTTTCGGCTATGCTCCTTCAGAGTGCAGGGGGTTGGACTAGATGACCTGCAAAGTCCCTTCCAACTCTAACATTCTATGACTCAGTTGTCCCCAAGCATGCCCCAGCATGACTCAGAGAGCACGGAGCACACAGCTCCGTCTTGTGAACCAGTCCTAAGTAGTATCATCAATCTGACACCCAAATGTCTTGTTCAGGCTTTGATTGTGAGCCACTGATAATCAGAGCCAGTGCCCTGAAGATCCTGCCTCACTTTTGTCCACGGAGTCCTCGACCTTCCCATCAATGACTGTGATCTCTCTATTTCTTCACACTTTAGGAGGTAGGAAGAGTCCTGCAGGAACGGCCTCTCACCTTTCTCCCTCTCCCTTCCCCCTAGATATCAACGAGTGTGCCCTGAACCCCTTGCTCTGTGCTTTCCGGTGCATCAACACCCTTGGCTTCTATGACTGCACCTGCCCATCTGGATACACCCTGCGAGACGACCGGAGAATGTGCAAAGGTAAAAACTATTCTCCAGGACCTACACCAGATAGAGATACCAAAAGATTTTGAATAGGTGAAAGTATCCACCCATGATAAGAACTTTGGGGTCCAAGGAAACTCCGTAACCCTTTTATGAACAGGGCCACGCGATATACCTCAGCTAATATAAGAGCATCCGAGTAAGACAGTGGCTTACCACTGTAAGACATTGTGGATCATGCTTGTTCACCGGTCTCAGCAATGGAGAGATCTGCTTTGTTGACTTCCCTTTCTGTGTTCATTTGAGCCCATCTTTCGCCACACGGGAGCCAAACCTGACCCTCTTGCTATATTTAAAAAAAGAGAGAACATCCAAAATGTCCCGAGTCCCCACAGTCCAAGCAGATAGGCTCAGGGTACTGAGATGTTATCAGGAGGCCGTTAATTCTCACGTTCTGTCTTCTGCAGATTTGGATGAATGCATCGAGGGGATGCACGACTGTGAATCACATGGGATGATGTGCAAGAATCTAATTGGAACTTTTGCTTGTATCTGTCCACCTGGGATGCAACGCAGGCCTGATGGTGAAGGCTGCACAGGTGATTTTAAAAAAAAATCAATCAAGTGTCTAGTCATCAGAGCTGTGGGGAAAACCTTTTGAAATATCTGACTATGAAGCAAGATATCCTCTCATCAGGGCTCAGTCTTCACTGCTTCACAGAAATTCCTCATCCCACTCCTGCAGCTGATGGACATAGAATCTGCTATGTTAAATTACATTATAATTTTCAGATTTTCCTGCAAATCTGGGGAGTGCCCCAAGTTTGCTGGAAAATCTGCTCACCCTCCATGGGGCCCCAGTCTGCAGGTTTAGCTTTCCACAGGTGGGGGCCAGTCAAACTCTCTCAGCCTAGCCTACCACACAGGGTTCTTGTGAAGATAAAATGGAGGAGAGGAGAAGGATGTGAGCTGCTTTGGGTCGCCATTAGGGAGAAAGGCGGGGTAGGTAGGTATGTATGGATAAATAAATAAAATATTATAATTTTGCATTAATTGTGCAAAAAATGCATCGTAATTATGCAAAAATAAGCAAATTCTGATTCTCGTTTTAGTCCTCTCCTATTCAAAGTGCAATGGGAAACTATTTCCCAAGTATGTCACTGTTTCGAAGTGTCCAAAGGCAATCTAAGGCAGGCTAGTGTTATCATCTTTCCTGTGACAGATGAGAGGCCAAGGAACCCTCAGTTTAAAATATGTATACATAAAAACTAAAATTCTAGATCCAAATTATTAAAAGCTTCCAAATATTTCATTGTGCACCCAAAGCTTGCTTCAGCCAAAGACCATTGAATAATTCCATGGCAGAGACAACACCTGAACCCACAACTTCCCAATTCTTTGCTCAACTCCTCTGCAAGTAGACTATTCTGGTTGTAGAGGCGAGGATCACTTCTCGTCACAGTTCTAATAGCCTGCCTTTTCCTTCTCTGTTGCCCTCAGATGAGAACGAATGCCGTACCAAGCCGGGTATCTGCCCCAATGGGCGCTGCGTGAACACTGTGGGCAGCTACCGCTGCGATTGCAACGAAGGCTTCCAAACCAGCCCCTCTGGCACTGAGTGCCTTGGTAAACAGCTTGTCCACAGCTTTTTCTTGTGCTTTCAGACATTTCAGAGTTTTGTACTTATGTGATTGTCGCATGATCATATGATAGCCAGGTGTGCTGACTTGGCTGGTAGCCACCGAAGCAATAAGCTAGAAGCTGAAGACACGAGCCGGAATCAAGGTCAGTGAGAAAGCCAAAGGTCTGATAGCTGGGAAGTCATTTCAATAATGTAGGTTTCCAAAGGCAAGGAGCGACTGCTGCACACTCAGAAGCAGGTCTGATTTTGCAGAGTTGCTGCCGCGCTGGAGCAGGTGCACCAAGGGGTTTTAGACAGATCCTCCCTCCCTTTGGAGTTGAGTCTGCAAAGGCTTACAACTCCTCTCGCTGACGTTGCTGGAGCTGCAGCCTGGCACTTCTTCTTCATTCCTGCAAAGTCAGCCTCTGCTGTGCCCTACGTCTGGGGCACTCGGGGGAACTAGGTCTTGGGGAGTCTGGCCTCGGGGTGTCTGCGGCTGGGGTCGCTGGCCCCGGCTCAGGAATGGTCTCTCCTTCTGGCTGCACCTCTTGTGCAGCTGCTGGGGACTCTTCCACCTCCTCAGGTACTGCTGAGGGTTCTTTCTCTGGGCTGTCTCTAGAGGAGGCTGAGTTGTTCCCTGCCTCTTCCTCCTCTGAGGAGGGGTCAGCCTCAGCCAGACCCACGACACCAGGTCAGGTTGCTGGATCTCAAGGTTTTATCCTCTATAACGGTTTTCAGGCTAAAAAATGAGGGGAGGGGGTAGTAGTAAAGGGTAAAGCCAGGGGTCATTTCCTGCAGGAGCACACAGGATCAGAGCTCTGGCAGTAAAGAGCCCAGGGGGCGGGCACATAGAACAAGCCCCGCCCCCTGCTCCCAGCAGCCCTCAGTCAGAGCAAGAAGCAGACAGGTAAGTTGCAGAGCCCCCTCCCCCAGCCCCCCGGTCCAAAACAGTCCAGTGGCACCTTTAAGACCAAGTTTTATTCAGGTACAAGCTCTCCCTCCTCGGCGAGGACAGATCTGCACATTCCCCCCCCCCCAATAGCTAGCAATCCAAAACAGTCCAGTGGAGCCTGAGCGGTGGGTGTTGCCTTCTGACACGCTTCCGGTGATGTCAGGGGGTGTGGCATATGCAAATAAGTTATGCTAATGAGTTACGCTAATGAGCTCCTGCATCTCTTTTTTTACAAAATGAGCCCTGGGGAAAGCTATATTCTGCTTGGCTGACTCTGCGTATTCATCAGACTCTTCCCATAAACCACCAGGTGATATCCTCTACCGTGTTCTAGTATGCCTCCCCTCTGCCCCTCCAGACTCCACTCCCAAGTTCCAAGCCCTTTCCCCTCAAGGTCTGAGATCTGAACAGTCTGTCATTCGGGGAAGAATTCAGGGCGAGTATCCAGGGGGAAGGAGAAGCGGCACCTCTAGGCAAAGGAGTCCCACATAGTTTAAGGTGAAACAAGCAGGAACCCACGAAAGAGCTGTGTCAGCTACCACCCCTAAGTTGTAAAGCCCTCCCAAAATCATGCATCATCTTTAGACTTTCTAGCATAAATATACAAAGATGTCCAATTCAATATCCCACATTCAACTTTCTGTTCTCCTAATTTTAATGTTTTACAAATTCACTATGACAGACGCTATGGATTTGGAAGGCAAATCGCAAAAGGTATTGAATTCAGCACTACTTTATCATGGAGTTTTATATAAAATCTTTTTTGTTAAAACAAAGGAAAATTAAATGTTTGCTTTTAAAAATATTGGGTGGCATTCGGAACTTTAAAAAGTTGGGTTTCGAAAATTCGTCTGAATTTAATGGGTGTGCTGAATTTTCGAAAATCACAATAACCTTTTCTTTTCCTTCCTGGGGTTTAATTATTTATCAAGGCCTACCTGCAGCAGCACACTGATTTCTCCATCTCCCCCCCCCCCCCCGCCCCACGGCCCAGATACTCGCCAAGGATTCTGCTTTACCGAAGTGCTCCAAACCATGTGCCAGATGTCTTCCACGAACCGCCACCAGGTCACCAAATCAGAATGCTGTTGTAATGGAGGCCGTGGATGGGGCCCCCAGTGCGAACTCTGCCCCTTTCCAGGCACTGCCCTCTACAAGAAAATGTGCCCCCATGGACCAGGCTACACAACTGACGGGAGAGGTGAGTCTGTCCTTGTGGAGGTGGAAGATTCTTGTTGTGGTCCCACCTCATGCTATGGGGGTGCAGATCCTTATTAACATAATGTATGAAGCTGCCCCCTACCATTGGTCCATCTGGCCTCGTATTGCCTACTCTGACTGCCAGCACCCCTCCAAAGTCTCAGGTGGAAAAAGGTTGTTCCCATCACCTGAAATCCTGTTGACTGGAGATGCCAGGGACTGAACCTGGGACCTTCTGCGTGCAAAGCACGGCCTCCACTACTGAACTGTGTGGCCAGCTGCCCAATATTTTAGCAGTTCCTACTAAAGTCTCTGTCCCTGTTTACCAGAGCATTTTTCATAGCACAGTGAAGCTATGCAATAGCTCCAGCTGCTGGCCAAAAAAACCCCTTCAATGCATTTCAGGACACTTCAGCGCTGTCTAGTTAAGTCTAGTGAACTTTTTGTGGAACAACTGGAAAAAGAAGAGTGGTGATACTTGCCCATTAAACTTGAACTCCTAACTGAAATTTTGCCCTGACCTGAATGGACCAGGCTAGCCTGATCTCATTTATTTATTTATTTGATTGAATTTCTATACCACCCTCCCCATAAACCAGGCTCAGAGTGGTGTAAAGGTAAAGGTTTCCCTTGCTCGAAAGCCAGTCAAATCTGACTCTAGGGATGCAGTGCTCATCTCCATTTCCAAGCCGAAGAGCCAGCGCTGTCCAGAGACGTTTCCGTGGTCATGTGGCCGGCATGACTAGATGCCGAGGCGCACGGAACGCTGTCACCTTCCCACCGAAGTGGTACCTATTGATCTACTTGCAATTTCTTGCTTTCGAACTGCTGGGTTGGCAGGAGCTGGGGCCAGAGACGGGAGCTCACTCCATCACACAGCACTCAGGTCTCGAACTGCCGAGCTACCGACCTTCCTGTCTAGAGTTCAGCGTCTTAACCACTTGAGCCAGCGCAGCCCCTCAGAGTGGTGTACAACAGTTTAAAATGAGGAAAAATTAGAACAATCAAATAGACTATCATAAAAACATATGCCTCCACGGCACCACGAACTATCATAAAAACATATGCCTCCACGGCCCCCCCTATAAATATTTGACTCCCATTAATAAGGGGGGAGGAGAGTGAGGAGGCAACTGATAGATTCGATAGCTGTTAAAAACTGTTGCTGTCCTCAACCGTATGTTTGGCGGAGCATCTCCACCTTGCAGGCCCTGCGGAATTGTAACGAGCCCCGCAGGGCCCTGACAGACGGTTCCACCAAGTCGGAGCCAGGACCGAGAAGGCCCTGGCCCTGCTTGAGGACAGCCGGACACTCCTTGGGCCAAGGGCTTCCAGTAGATGTCGTTCTCCTGCGCATAATGCTCTCCGGGGCACATACCAGGAGAGGCGGCCCTGCAAGTACGTTGGTCCCTGACTGTTTCTCACCAGATCTCAGAAGCTAAGAAGGGTCAGCCATGAAATCAGCACTCCATGAAACTGCAGAGCGGTCGGGTTAGAACAGATAAAAGGAAGTGCTTCTTCACCCAAAGAGTGATTAACACATGGAATTCACTGCCACAGGAGGTGGTGGCGGCTACAAGCATGGACGGCTTCAAAAGGGAATTAGATAAGCATATGGAGCAGAGGTCCATCAGTGGCTATTAGGGCTCTGTGGCAAGAAAGGCTCTGTCTTCTTGGTGCTTGGGGGGGGCAACAGTGGGAGGGCTTCTAGTGTCCTGGCTCCACTGGTGGACCTCTTGATGGCACCTGGTATTTTCGACCACTGTGTGACAGAAGAGTGTTGGGCTGGATGGGCCATTGGCCTGATCCAACATTGGCGTCTCTTATGTTCTTATGATTAGTATTTGGATGGGCAACCACTAAGGAAGTCCAGGGTCACTGTACAGAGGCAGGCAATGGCCCAGCCACCTCTGAACGTCTCTTGCCTTGAAAATCCTGCGGGGGTTGCCATAAGTTGGCTGTGACTTGAGGGCACTGCCCACCACCAACAACTGAAATTTTCAATACCCATTTCAGAACTACTGCCCCTTCTTTTATGTTTTTAACACCAGCTCTCCAATAAGAACATAAGAACATAAGAGAAGCCAATGTTGGATCAGGCCAATGGCCCATCCAGCCCAACACTCTTCTGTCACACAGTGGCCAAAAATACCAGGTGCCATCAGGAGGTCCACTAGTGGGGCCAGGACACTAGAAGCCCCCTCCCCACTGTTTCCCCCCTCCCCAAGCTCCAAGAAGACAGAGCATTCCTTGCCCCAGACTGAGAGTTCCTATCTACACCTTGCAGCTAATAGCCCCTGATGGACCTCTGCTCCATATAAGAACATAAGAGAAGCCAATGTTGGATCTGGCCAATGGCCCATCCAGTCCAACACTCTTCTGTCACACAGTGGCCGAAAATACCAGGTGCCACCAGGAGGTCCAGCAGTGGGGCCAGGACACGAGAAGCCCTCCCACGGTTGCCCCCCCCCCCAAGCACCAAGAATACAGAGCATCCCTTGCCCCAGACTGAGAGCTCCTATCTATATTTTGTGGCTAATAGCCACTGATGGAATTCTGCTCTATATATTTATGTAATTCCCTTTTGAAGCCGTCTGTGCTTGTAGCCACCTTCACCTCCTGTGGCAGTGAATCCCATGTCTTCATCATTCTTTGGGTGAAGAAGGACTTCCTTTTATCTGTTCTAACCCTACTGCTCAGCAATTTCATGGAATGCCCATGAGTTCTTGTATTGTGAGAAAGGGAGAAAAGGACTTCTTTCTCTACCTGCTCTATCCCATGCATAATCTTGTAAAACTCGATCATGTCACCCCTCAGCTGTCGTTTCTCCAAGCTAAACAGCCCCAAGCGCTTTAAGCTTTCTTCATAGGGAAAGTGTTCCAACCCTTTTATCATTCTAGTTGCCCTTTTCTGCACTTTTTCCAATGCTATAATATCCTTTCTGAGGTGTGGTGACCAGAACTGTACACAGTACTCCAAATGAGGACGTACCATCGATTTATACAGGGACATTATGATACTGGCTGCTTTGTTTCCAATTCCCTTCCTAATAATCCCCAGCATAGTGTTGGCCTTTTTTATTGCAGTCGCACACTGTTTGGACATTTTCATTGAGTTATCTACCACGACTCCAAGATCTCTCTCTTGGTCAGTCTCTGCCAGTTCGGACCCCATCAACGTGTATTTATAGTTAGGATTTTTGGCTCCGATGTGCATCACTTTGCACTTGGCTGTCCCTCTTTTTAACTAGGGAAGTCACCCTCCTGTACGTAGGGCAGGTGCTTGACCAGTAAGCTGTGCCTGCCCTTGAGTCCCAACCTCCGGTCTCAACTAACTCCAACGATTTCCTGCAAATAATGTTAGGAGCTGCAATTCTGGGATGCAATTCTGACAGAGAAATTCCTCTCCCTTCCCCCCCAATTCTGACAGAGGAATTCCTCTCCCTTCCCCCCCCCCCCGTGAGTGCAGATATTGATGAATGCAAGGTGCTCCCTGACCTCTGCAAGCACGGGCAGTGCATCAACAGCATGGGTTCTTTCCGCTGCCACTGCAGAGTGGGCTACGCCACAGACCTCACCGGCACAGCTTGCCAGGGTAAGTGGGACGCTCAGGTTAAGGGGTCTGGCAACTGGAAGCCAGTTTAGTTGCCCTCGGTTATGTCTGCACCAACAATCTGATCAGATTCTTTTTGTCATCGCTTGCTGCCCCCCCCACTCCAATATACTTGAGCTTTGCTCTAAAGATTTTGCGTGAAGCCGTAGAAGGGTAGTGGCTAAGGGCTGCTGTCCTTTGGTGCACGTTTAGGCCAGCCTCCTAGAGTTGTTGAACTGGGCATTTACTGGGGTCCCAATACTGGGGGGAAAGCCCTGTCAGCAGCATCACACTGTGTAGTAATGGTTAGAATGTCAGTTGGCCACCCAATGGTTCCATGGGTCAGTTAGCCCAAGAAAACATTTACACGGCTGGGATGGAAGTGCTGGTGCCAGTACTCAGGTGCCCCAGCAGATGTCTGGGAGGGTTTTGAAAGTGGTATGGTATGTTAGGACTTTCCTTCCCATCTCACCCCGATTCTCTTGCCCTTAGACCTTGATGAGTGCAATCAGTCCCCCAAGCCATGTAATTTCATCTGCAAAAACACTGAAGGTAGTTTCCAGTGCTCCTGTCCCAGGGGATATATCCTGCAGGAGGATGGAAAGACTTGCAAAGGTAAGTCTGGAGGGTGGGGTCCCTGCAGCCAAAGAAACGCAGGGTAAGGCCCAGTCTTGCTGTCTGTATTTAAAGTTGCCTATGATACATTATGCTGGAAGTGTAAGAATGAGACAGGGACTTATCACCACCTGTGGTGGAAGTGCTCTACTGGAAAGACTTAGAACTTCAGCTGCAAGTACCTAGATGTCAAAGATGTGAGATGCAATCTACAAATTCCTGGAATTCATAGTCTCCTGTACACATAATGATTTCGATTAAGAATTAGTGGTGCCCCCCCAAATTCACATTCACCTGAGTTCGTAATGCAGTTCAGAACGCATGTCTCCAAGCCAAGGTGAGTATTGACACTGAGTGTTCTCCAGCTCAGATTGCCATGGGGTGGTTGGGACGATAGTGGGTAGATGGGAAGCCATGCAGACAGGCTCAAGAAAGGGTAGAACTCCTCCTAGATTTCCCAAGAACACTACTTGGCAATGTGACATAGATTCTGAGTTCACGGCTGGGCTTGGAAGAAACTAGCGTATTTGCCTATTTTTTTGTAAAATAGATTGGTTCACTAAGCTCCCATTTTTAATCAAGCTCAGACGGGTTTGATCACTAACAATAGATTTGTTTAGCAGTTATTATAAATACTGTTATAATTGTTTAGAGAAGGTATTATTATACTTTTGAACATTTCTTGTATACTTTAAAAACTAAAATAAATAAAAAGATCTGCTTAGGAGTTACTAAGAATGATTATCCTACACGGTTGTAGCAGGAATATTTGTG